TTACATTTGGTTTGGGTTTGGTTATATTTATCATGTTTTTTACATGTAACACACCCACATATATAACGTGCATACACATGTAACATACATAGCGCTCAAAGGAAGCTAATGCAAAAACCATGTAACGCACACATTATTTGCATAAAAATACAGTATATATATATGTATGGAGTCCCTGGGTGGTACAAACAGTTAACCGGGTCAGTTGCTAACAGAAGGGTTGGACGTTCAAGTCCACCTCAGAAGAAAGGGCTGGCAATCCACTCCTGACAAATCGTGGAGCATGTTCTACTCTGACACACGTGGGCCCCATGTGTTACAGTCAACCTGATGGTAAGCAGTATATACATTTCCAAACCTGTTTGCACTATTCTTGCAGCTTTTCTGTGTATCTAATATATTTGGTATATCTGTATATTTAATTATATTAAAATAAAAAAAAATGCTTTAAAAAATGAGATGGCACATGTAAATTGCTTAGCACAGTGCCTGGCATAGAGTAAGAGCTCAATGACCACAGTTTGTTATTATTGATGTGGTTGTTATTGCCAGAGATTGTCCTGGTCAACCCTCCTTGGTTGAAGTTGGAAAAACTGAAGCCCAGAGAAAGCCGGAAGCCACCAGCTTGAGGTCATGCTGCAAGTATGGGATGCCCTGCACCTCCCGGGTCCCAGTGAGGGTTCTCTGTACAGCAGCTGCCAGCCAGGATGTGTCTACCCTCCTCATTCCTGGGGGCAGTGCTGATGGCCCTGGGCCCTAGGAGCTCCGAGGAACTCTGAGAGGGCTATGTATGACCCTTGAGCCAACGAGCCATTTTAACAGGGACAAGCTGGGCTCAACCTTAACAGAAAGATTCCACAAACATTCATTCATTCTGTACCTAATTCCTAAGCAGTTAAGTAATGCCATGCCCCAATCTCATGACCTCCCAAGGCATCACAAACATTAAGCAAATGATCCCCCAAATAAGCCTCTAATTACACTGTGGGAATGTCATGGAGGAAGAGGAGATGGAATTATGAGAGAACCTAGTCTGAGGAGGAAAGGTGCGCCTGGCTGAGACCAGCACATACAAATATCCTCAGGTGAGAGACAGCCAGTATCTCAGGGATGAAGTTCAGGGAATGCGGGTGCCTGTCTCCAGGTGGGAGTGAGGGATATCAGGGCTAGCCTCTCAGGAGTAATGTTTGCTCCTGTCCACAGTCCTGGAATAGGAGGGCTCAACAGCATTTACTGAATGAGCAAATGAAGGCGTATTCCTGTTGTCTGTCGTCACTTCCTCCCTCCACCTATTCCTCTCAGAGGGCTTAGACCAGCGCCTGGCTGAGCAACCCCAACGAGCTGCCCCTTGGCTGGTGGCACTAGCATCTGTCAGATGGAATGAGAGGGGATGGGAAAGGAGGGCTGGAAGCATGTGCACTTCTGGGCAAGACCCCCAGCTGAATACCACAGAGGCCGCTCTGGGCAGGGTGAGGTGACCAGGAGGGAGTGTAGGGACATGCCAGGCTCATGAGTTGTGCCGGCCCAAGCATAGCACTGACTCTAAGTGATTATAAATAACCTGTCTGGCTCCTGGGCTGGCTGCCAGGGCAAGGCCCAGGGAGGCACCCGGGGAGACAGCTGGGGCCCAGTCTGCCCACTCAGCCCCCATCCACTGCATTCTGGTCCCCTTCCTGTGGTCCTAATACTGGGAGTTCCACTCTAGAGAAGGAGCTACCGCGCACAGCCTCATAGACCAAGAGACCAGGAGCCCCTGCCCACATCTCATCACCTCCAGAGCTGGCAGGGGTTCCGGGCCGCCCTCTTTATGTTAACATCCAAGGGCCCGAGGAGGGTCTCTCTCCTTGGTGGAGTCACAGACCCCACCAACCACGGGGAACACATGTACACACATGTAAATTCTAGGACGGAGCCTCCAGCAGCTAGACCTGCCGCCCACACCCACTCCCTCTCCCCTCCCCCACCTCCCCGGACGCCCGGGACACTCACACCACCAAGTACAGCAGGATGGACAGCTGCAGCAGCCGGTAGAGCAGGCCCACCTTCTTGTTCTTGGCGATGACGTATTTTTCCGTCTTGTAGTCAAACAACGACAGGCATAGCCCCTTCCAGCCCCCCTGCCCCATGGTGCTGTCTCACCTGGGCCTGCGCACCGCCAGGCCCCACCGGAGCCGCATGGGGTGCCCGCCCCTGCGCTCCGGAGCCCGCTGTCCCTCGCCCGCCCTCCCTGCGCGCCCGGGCGCCGGGCACAGCCGCTCTCCTTCGGCACTGCGGCAGCCTGGGGCGTGCGCGGCTCGCACAGGCATGGGCGCTGGGAGCGCGCGGGCGTGGGTCGATGGACTGCCGGTTATTGGCGTGGCTATAAAGCCTCCGCTGGGAGCTGGGTGGGACGAGCGCTGAAGCCTCCGATTGCGACCTTGCAGCCACCCCTTCCTCCTCCTCCTCCCCTGACACGGTAAGAACGCTGGACCTTCCGCTAGTCTGGCGAGGGCATTCCTGGAGACCGCGCCGTGCGCTGTCCCAACTGGGAGTAATGATCGCTGGCCTGAAGGAGCGAGGAGGCGAGGGAAGAAAGGAGGAAGGGTGCCTTTTAAAGCCAAACCCTCCTTTCTTTCTCCTCTCGGTTAAGAATCCCCAAAGTTTTCTTCTTATTGACTAGATGGGGAAACTGAGCTAGGGGAAGAGGGATGGACAGCCCAGGAAGGTGAGGTGGAGGTGAGAAGGGATCAGAACATTCACAGGTAAACACAACAGGTTTTCTGGTTCAGCAGGCGCGGATCCCCTGGGAGGAGCTCTGGCCACACCATCTTCAGGAGTTTGGGGTCAGACTGGGAATACTCCTCAGATGGGCAGCTACCCGTGTTCACTGTAATTAAATGGGTGTTCCTACTGGAGCTCTGGTAGCATAGTGGCTAAGGCACTTGACTGCTCACCAGAAGGCTGGTGGTTCAAACCCACCAGCCACTCCTCGGAAGAAAGGTTGGGCAATCCTACTTCCGTAGTGATACTGCCTCGGAAACCCAAGGAGGGGTCGCTATGAGTCAGGCCGACTCGACGGCACACAACAACAACAACAACAACTGCAGCAGGCGCTGCGGATGTAAACCCCGTGGTCCTAAGGCGCCAGGTGCCAAGCAGCGCCGAGTGCCCACTGTGTGGAGATCTGTCCCACACCCAGGGCTGGGTGGGGCGGGGTGGGGACACAGAGCAACCGGGGCCTAGGATCTCACCAAATATGCGTGGAGCAGAACCTGTGTCGACTGCCAGAAATGTTCCCAGAGCAAGAGAGGAGACCCGAGGCTACTGATTCCTGCAGCCCAACACGTGAACTTAAACAGAGGGCCTGGCAGTGGGGTGAAGCCCTCACCCTGGGGACCAGTTCGGGAGCTCACGACCGCCAAAAAGGCAGGGCCCTGGCTGAGCTGCGGCGGTGTGTGCTGAGGAGCTGGGCACACTCACTGTCCACATCCTGCAGTCTGTCCATCTGCTCCTGCCCTACCCCAGGCCCTCACACACCAATGAGAAGCTCCTTTCCTTGAACCATAGGCCACTAGAGTTGGAAGGGGTCCCCAAGTTCACCAGATGTGATCATCTCTAAAAGTAAAAGCCCTGGGGCAGTAGGTCTCAAGTTCTTGTGTACTTGGGAATCACTTGTAAGAAAAAACAAGCAAATTCCTGGCCCTCTCTTAGATTTTTGTGAAGTCTAGGATGAGACCTGGGAATCTGTATTTTGTTCTCAAACTGATGTTTGAGATGCACAGACTTTCACATCTTTTCATCTTTGAGTTCAAATGTCATCTCAAAATGGCCCATTCTTATTACCACTCATCAAAGCAGCCCCCACCCCTATCCCAATCCCTTTCTAATGATTACCCAATTCCATTTCCGTAGAGCAGTTGTCACCATCTGATACAATCTGCATACTTATCTGTTGACCGTGTACCTGACTGAGACCATAAGCTCCAGGAGGGCAGAGATCCTGTCTTTGGACATCTCTGTATCCTACCAGATGTACAGGATCGTAGTAGAGCCTCTGTGTCCTAGTGGAAGAGGCTGAGCAGCTGGCCCCTGGAGGAACAAGCTTGGTAGTTGTTGCCAGACTTCCCGCCCTCCCAGTCTCTGTGTCAGCCCTCCCCCAACAGGACTTCCAGTGCTTGGAAATGTAGCATCCATCTAGAGACATCACAGTATGAAGATGCCCCATCACCCGGAGAACACTGCCCCAGGTTCTAGCTGCCCTTGAGTTAATTCCAACTGACAGAAACCATATGTGTATCAGAGTAAAACTGTGCTCCAGAGGATTTCCAGGGACTAACTTTTCTAAAGTAGATCACCAGGGCTTTCTTCCAAGGCACCACTGGGTGGACGCAGGCATCCAGCCTTTTGGTTAGCAGCCGAGCATGTCAACAATTTTCACCACCCAGGAACTCCAGTGTGAGACCTAACAATGCCAGGTGCAGCGGGGGAAGGAAAGTGGCCTCAGGAGTCCCCCTAATTGAATGTGGCCAGGAGAAGAGCCCCACCAGGGGCTGGTGGCCATCTGGAGAGCATCCCCCGCCAGGGCCTGTACCCTGACACAAGCAGCACAGAGAGTGGTGGTGAGGGGGCTGGTTAGCCTGTGGCCCCACCATGATGGGTCTCTTTCCTCTGCAGAACAAATTCCAAGTTTTGTGGTCCAGCCCTGTTCTGCAAGGGATCCCTGAGACTAGGGTAGATGGGGTAAGAGGGTCCAGGTCACCCAGCAGAACCTACATTTAGCCACAGTTCAGGGCACCCTCCTCTGTTCTTGATTCGTCAAACCTTAACTGAGCACCTTTAATTGAGCCAGGGAGGCTCACCTGCCACGCACTCACCTTCTGTCAATGGCCTCTCCTAACTGCCACTCTGGCTTGAGAAAGGGTCTACTCTGATCTGCCCTCCAACTCCCCAGCTGCCCATGGCACAGCCCAGACCCAGCTACGTTTTCTTTCTTTTTTTAATTGTGCTTTGGGTGCCAATTTACAATGCAGATTTGTTTTACATTCAACAGTTGTTCATGCACGTTGGATTTCAAGGCCTGATTACAATCCCCAACCACAAAAATTTCTCCTCCCCTCTCCTGTGCCCTTCTCTAGCACTCCTGTCTGCCCAGCTTTCCCTCTATGTGGATGCTGCCCCCCTGATGTGTTATGGCTGACTGCAAGCTGCCCTTTCTGACAGAACTATCCCGAAGCTTTGTGAATGTCACTTGAGTGACATTTGAGGGGAGAGAACTGCTCTGCTCTCAGGGTTCAGGCCAGACCCCTCCTTGAGGTCATAGCACAGCGTCTTAGACTAGGTCCAGACCCATTGGTGGGGTCAAGACATCAACATACTGGGTTGCAACCAGCATGTCCCTCCAGAAATAAAAGAAGAAGAAGAAAAAAAAGAAAAGAAATAGAAATTATCAGAGTGTGTTTAAGAAAAGGTAAGTATTGTTTTGTGAAACTTTTGTTTCAAGTATGAGTGTCTTGATGTGAACTTTTTCTTCCTGTGGGTTGTGGTCAAAACAATGTGAAAAATATTACTCACAAGCCACAATCCAGACTACGTGTGTTCTGTCTCCACGTGGTTGGGGCCTACTCCCTACCCCAGGTGTCCAGGCTTGACACCTATTACGCCCAAAGAGGAAGAAGTCTTTGCTTTACATTTGCATAAAGGCCCAAGATGTTTCTAAAACCAAAGATTAATTCAGTTCTCCATTTGAGAGAAAACTGTCTACTGCTTTTAAGTGATAGTGTTTATAGCTTCCAACCCCATTTCATTTGGATGGTCTCAGAGCCCCAAGGCTGAAATTCCTGTTTGCATTATCATGGTGAGTACTGACCGAGCTGGGCCACTGGTGGTGGTGCAGAGGTTGGGTTCTCATCTTCCACACTGGAGACCTGGGTTTGGTTTGCTGCCAAGGCACCTCCAATATGAAACCTCCAGCTTCAGTGACTGCAGGCCCAGGTGCTGCTATGATGCTGAAAATGTTTCAGCAGAGCTTCCAGATGAAGATGGACTAGGAAGACGGGCCTGGCAACCTACTTCCAAAAAATCAGCCAACGAACACCCTATAATAGTGCCTGGGGTGTTAAAAGCCTGCAAGCAGCCATCTAAGGGACAACAATTGGGATCTATTCACCCGGAGCAACAAAGGAAGGAGAGTTAGGAATAGGAAGAGGATATGGAATGTGTGGCTAATGATCTCCATGAACAATTGCCTTCTTTGGCATGAGACCAGAACTGGATGGTGCTCAGCTACCACAACTGAACATTTTGATCAGACTCTATAGAAGAATGCTGATCAAAAGGGGGAAAATCTAGAACAGAATTTCAAATTCTCATAGAATACAGATTTTCTGGAGCCACAGAGGCTGGATGAGCCCCCAAAACTATTACCCTAAAATAATCTAAACCTTAAATCAAAGACTTCCCTGAAGTCTTCTCAAAATCGAACAACAGTTTAGTTGAAATAGCCAAGAATGTCTGCCTTGAGCATTGTGCTCTGGTGGCGCAGTGGTTAAAGCACTCAGCTGCTAACCAAAAGATGCAGTTTGAACCCACCAGCTGCTCCATAGGAGGAAGGTGAGGCAATCTACTTCCATAAATATATACAGCCTTGGAAACCTTATGGGGCAATTCTGTTCTGTCCTAAAGTGTTGCTAGGAGTTGCAATCAACTCGATGGTGATGGGTTTGGGTTTTGTTTTTTTTTATGGGATCAAATTGACAACATCAACTCGAAAGATTAGATAGGAACCTTAGGGGGCCAGTGAGTTGATGTTAATGAGGGAAGGACAAGTCAGAAAAGGGGGTGAGAATGGATGCCTAACTTGAAAAACAGAATCAATGTCACTGACTTACATGTACTTGAATTGGTGTGTTTTACTGTGTATGTTCTCATTAATTTAAAAAAAAGAAAAACAAAAAACAACCCTATGGATTACAGCTCTCCAATCCTGTTGTGCATGAGCTGCCATGAGTCAGGGCCAACTTGACAGCAACTCGCAACAGCTTACTAAGCAGGTACTATTTGCTAAGCACCTAAGTGCCTTACACGTACAGACTCAGTCACCACAACACCCAAAGTGGTGGTACTATTACCATCTGCATCTTTTCCCTGT